GACAAACAGTTAAGTTTATACACATTCAGGGGATGTTTTGTTGTTTGTCTCAGACAAACAGTTATAAGTTTATACACATTCAGAGGGTGTATTGTAGTTTGTCTCAGACAAACAGTTATAAGTTTATACACATTCAGAAGGTGGTATTGTAGTTTGTCTCAGACAAACAGTTAAGTTTTGTACACATTCAGGGGATGTTTTGTAGTTTGTCTCAGACAAACACTTAAGTTTATACACATTCAGAAGGTGTATTGTAGTTTGTCTCAGACAAACAGTTAAGTTTATACACATTCAGGGGATGTTTTGTAGTTTGTCTCAGACAAACAGTTATAAGTTTATCACATTCAGAGAGTGTATTGTAGTTTGTCTCAGACAAACAGTTATAAGTTTATACACATTCAGAGGGTGTATTGTAGTTTGCCTGCTACAAACAGTTATAAGTTTATACACATTCAGGGTGTGTTTTGTAGCTTGTCTCAGAATCGGTACCAGTGAGACCTTTCACCCAATACCAGGACTCAGTCAGGCTGATTGGTATAAACGGTAGTGGTGGAGATGCTATATTATCAACCTGCGTAAACAACAACTGTTAGGGTGTGAACTAGAAGTTGAAGTTTAGTTTTTATCAATTTTGTATGAGTCATTTAGAAACCACAATTAGGGTAAGGATTAATAACATAGGTGTTTATTTATTTTATCACCTTATATTCATTACAGTAAGGAATAATTATAATTTGTTTTTAGTTCCCCCCCACTTTTTTAGTATTGCTGTATGTTGAAAGCTGGATATCATTTTTCGGTTGTCAATAAATGTGAATTAGCTGTTTAAAATGTATTTTCTGCATATAATAATAATTCTGTCATTTGTTTTAATGAGGTTTGGAATATTATTGTGAGTTAGAAAAAATTGTGACTAGTATCTTATGAGTTGGAATGGCACTAATTCCTGCATGCCTGCTTTTCTAGGTAATCAGGCAGGTATAAAGTCTTACACGAGTCATAGTATTGTTTGGTTAGATGAAGGCTTTTAGTTAAATAAGTTTTAAACTGCCCCGTGTAATAGGATTCTTTTTTAGGTTAAGTTCTTATGCATAAAAGTTTTATGCTTTCATAAAAATGTATGTCTTTTGAAATTTACATTTTCAATATGATCAAATGGCCATATTATTTATTTTGTGGGCTGTTAGTTGAATGGGATTTTTTTATGATATTAAATAAATAAGAATACCCCAATGGGTTGAATGTATTGCTCTCTTGTCATATTATTTGTTACTGTGTGCTTTCTGTACAATTACATCAGATGTTGTTTTGTTTTTTAAGTGGTTTTAGTATTACTTTTTTACCTCCCATATTGTTACAAGTAATTTTGTTGTAGTTACATCTGTTTGGATGTATGTAAACTTTTAACTTGTGTTTTATTACTATGAATACTTACCTAGTATTACAGGAACTATAACATCTTGTTAAGTACCATGAATACTTATCCAGTTTTACAGGAACTGTAACATTTGGTTAAGTACCATGAATAATTTTCTGTTATTACAGGAACTGTAACATCTGGTTAAGTACCATGAATACTTATCCAGTTTTACAGGAACTGTAACAACATCTGGTTAAGTACCATGAATACTTATCCAGTTTTACAGGAACTGTAACAACATCTGGTTAAGTACCATGAATAATATTCCAGTATTACAGGAACTGTAACAACATCAAGTGCAATAAATAGTCTTCCAGTATTACACGAACTATAATATCTGGTTAAGTGTTAGTTGAAAACTTCAGAGGTCAAGCTTTTATCAGTTTTATATAGTGATATGTACAAAGATTTCAGTAATGTTAATATCCTAGAAAGTGTGTATGTGTGTGTTTGTGTACTTCCAAAGGCTAGTTATGTTTAGTGTTCTAGATCTCATTGGACACTTACCTTGGGGCTATGAATTATCAAATGATGAATGTTTGTAGGGTCATGAAAATAGTTTGTTTTATTGGTGAGTCACAATAGTTATTTGTATCCTTGAAAAAGTTCAGTCATACACTGAACTTTAACTTCAATAGATAAATGGTATTATGACTTCTTTAGCCATTTATGAGTCGTTGACCTGAAAAAAAGAATCTCAAAGTTTCTCCGTGATTACAATCAAACACTCATTGACCTGTAAGTCTTTAAGAAATAACATTTGTGGAAAATTTTATGGAAGAATTTAAATAAATCAATAACTTTAACATTTTTATAGTTTCTAAATCAGTACAAATTAATTAATTTTATGTTATCAATGATTTAAAATAATTTTTTGAAGTACAATATCACTAAACTAAGAGGATCAACCAAGATTCGATTGGAAATCTTGCCTTGATAATATGTGATATTTTTTCAAGGATGTTGCTTGTAACCTTGGTGATGGAAGAGGTGTAGGTGTTGTCTAATTGAATATTCAAAAGACCTGATAAGATATTTGTAGGGGTGAAAGAAAGCATAAAGTTCTTATAAATAGTTCGGTCAACCAGTTTACAAATAGGTGTTACCGTAAATACAGATCATATGCTTTATGTTGGAGATATCTACAATATGTTGAACCATTTTTTTATAGAGAAGTGCATGTGTGTTTTATTGGATGTATTTGTAATATGTATACCATGCTAGGAGTCCTACACTTAGAAAAAAATTCATTAATTTCCTGAACTGATATTAAGGGTTTTTTATAACTTGCAGCTATTTGTCTTAGACAAGTTACAAAACACACCCTGAATGTGTATATACTTAACTGTTTGAAAATAGTGTGGTTGAGATTTTGTTACACATTCTTATTTACTTTCCCTCATACCACTATGGT